TTACCCTGGGTTTTGTTAGGATATGGCTCCTTTAAGCATGGCTTTTCACCCACATTTTCCTAAATTTTTCCTACCCTTTACCCTATCCTTACATTACAAGCTTTAAAGACCTTCCGACCGTTGTGCATAGAGTTGTATGGATGTGAAAGTGTTGTTTATCAATGCAAGTTATGATTTGACATATTTCAAGTCGACTAGTAGATTGAGTGTATATATTTTTAAACACACGAGAGTGTGAGTTGGGAGGGAATTGTTCACATAAAAGGGGTTGGGATGGAGAGCGATCGAGTACATCTTTTTCTCGCCACATAAATAAGAGTTGAGTGTGTGAGCACTAGTTTTAAATACTATATGCTCATGTGGTTTGCTCTACTTGACAATTGTTGGGGAGGAAGAGTGATAAGATGAATGAGATTGATTGACATTGAAGCATGTTTATTAGATTTTCCTTGAATTATTGGTTCTTGATTTTGATTATTTGGGGTGAAGCATGTCTTATGTATTCATTGATGAGCTCTTTGCTTAGGGACAAGCAAAGGTTTGGCTTGGGGGAGTTTGATGTGTCTAATTTATATAATATTTTACCCCCGTCCCTTGATCATAATTAGTAGTGTTTTTGGCTCTTTAGAGCCACTTTTATTACTAATTGGTGTTTTCTAGTGTTTTCGTAGTTTTGGTTGAGTTTTGTAGGGAATTGCACTTTTAGAGCATTTTCCCGAGTTTTCATGGAGCAACTACGGACATTGGAGGAGCATGACCGTTTTTAAAGCCCAAGGCCGGTTAGAGTCATTAAGCCGGTGGTTAAGGGCTCGACTTGTGGAATACGAGCGTTGGACCGAGTATTCAAGACCCTAGGTGGATATCCTGATTGGGCTAAAAAGTAAGCCCAATCGAAGTTCCAAGCTTCAAGGAGAAGCCGGTCCTGATCGGGTGAGCATTGGCCCGATCGGGCACTGCTGCTCAGAAGGATGTGTGAAGAAAAAAAGGCGGGCCCGATCGGGCTGCCTATCGCCTTATCGGGCGCGTGTTTATGGGGAGGCATCTTCAGCGATTTCTTAGTTTCTAATTAGGAATAATTTTAGATTATTGTTTAAGTACGATTTTAATGTTTTTGCTTAGTACCTCTCTTCTTAGACTTTCTCTCTCTACTTAGATTATTTATCTCTCTAGTTTCTCTCTCTTACAACTCAATCTTGTTCTTGACTCAACTCCTTAATTCCGATTACTTTGGTAACGATTTCTTTTTATTAATTTCAGCAATTTTATTACTTTGTTTCTTCATGACTTGTTTAATTGCTTTGATTAGTTTAGTTTTAATTATGTCCAAGTAGTTTAATTCTAGGGTTTATGGGGATCCATAATTAATATGAAGGGATAATTTGTTATTGTTGATTATTAATATTGCATGATAATTTCTTATTGAATTGTTTTAATTCTTTACAATTGTATTATGAATCGAGCAGATGTGATCTGATTGTAAAGTATAGCAATATTGAATTGATGAATTGAGTAGATGTTAATTTGATATTAAAGGTTATTTTCAATAGGAACTTAGATCTAATAAATTGTGAGAGCCTGATAGATCCATGTTGGTTAATAAATTGCGAGAGCCTGTTAAGCATTTTATTTGTGTAATGTTAATTATCGATTGTTATGCTTTAATCCCAGAATATTAATTATTGGTGAACCTGTGACCCTAGGCCTTCTTATTATTGATTTTCTCCCTAAACTTGATCTTCGTAGTTAGTTCCCTTTTTATAACAACAAATTGGTTACTTGATAATCTAGATTATATTAATTAATTAGGAATAGAAAGACTTGTTTCCCTGTGGATTCGACCCTACTTCCCTATTTGCATTAGTTAGAGGACTTAGGTAATACTTTTGATTAGTTGATACGACTTTAGCATGTCACATTCTTTTAATCATACTTGATATTAGGAATTTTTAGTTGTTACCCTAAACATGATTCTAGGAATAAACATCCTAACATGATACTAGGAATCAAAATAACAATCTAAGCTTGATTTCTATATCATAAAATCAATTAAACAATTAAAGCACTTACTTGGATGCCTCGTACCTCTTTCTACTAACAAAATACACAAGGAAAATAATAAAATCAAACAATTAAATTAAATAATTGAAAGAGAGATTAGGGACCAAACCCTCAAAAATATCAAACCTTTCACGTTTAGGGTGAAGGCAACTTCGAATTATGCTAGGTGTGTCTAGATCTTGTGAATGCAGAATTTTGTTTGTGAAAAGTTGGTTTAGAAAGAGAGAGAGAGAGAATGTCAAGAATTCCTTGATGAGTTGGTGAGAATTGATTGAAGAATTGATGAAAATTGATGATTAAAGACGGAGGTCTAAGGACACTATTAATAATGAAAACAATCTGGATTAGATAAAAAAGAATCGGAGTTTGCAAAGGAATAAAACACGTTGTTGTCGTCGAAATAGCCTTTGTCGCTGCGCGACAGGGCTTGTCACTAGGCGACAGCCTGGCGTTCGGCGCTGCAGGCGATTTTCCACACGTTTTCTATTTTTTGATAAAATCAAGCGTAAAAGTCCGTATGAGGGGTAAAATCATAATTTCATTTAAAACACTTCTTTTATTCCATATAAAACTCATAAAACTTAATTATCAATCATAATCACATTAGGATTCAAAAGAACCTTCTAGAAGATTCTAGAAGACTATAATCAATCCTAATTGCATTAGGAATGATAATTCATAATAGGCCCTCTTCTAGATCATTGGGCCGCATATAAAGATCTAACCGAACCCAGTTTAGTAATTTGGCCATAACTTCCTCATTAATCATCAGAATTGGGCTTATAATATATCGTTGGAAAGCTCTTTTCGAGCCCAATCTAAATACACTATTATTGAACCCATATCATGGACCAAAATAAATTGGATTAGCTATTTTCATAAAATAGGTTTTCGAAAACCAGAAAGAAAGAATTTAATAAAAACTAATCGCAACACTAGACTTTCAACACTTTCACTTCATTCGATTATGATTCGACGCGAAAGGTATTCATCACCGGGTTTGGTTTTGGGGAGACACAAATGGGTGTCTACAGAACTCATTGTTTTTAGAAGAGAATAAGTAATTGAACTTAGGGTTTGACAGAGAAAATGAGAAGGAGAAGAAAGTACGAAGAAGAGAGAGAAAAGGGAAAACGGAAGAAGACCTAGGGTATATGTCGAATTTCTAGAGAATTCCCCAGAACTTATTCAAATTGGGCAGCATATTCAAGGGAAAATGAATGCAATTCATTAAATGAGGTAGTTAGGTAGATGAGTGATTGTTGATGAAATAAGGATGGAGGGGGTTAATTTTTGGTGGGAATGGTTAAAGTTACTGAATTAAGTAAGTGTAATTATAACATGCTAAACAAACTTTTTAAAAAATAAAGTAAGGGTAAGATCATCATTTCACTCTTTAAAATTTACTAAAAAAAGGAAAGAAAATAGTTTATTGTGAGTATTGTGTACTGGTCATTTAAAGTAATTGTTGGGAGTAATATGTAATGGAGGGAGTAGATAAAATAGCATACGTGTTAATAATTCTAGTATCTTTGTTGAACATTATGAACAAGAAAATTATAACAAACACGAACATTTAAATTGTAGATGATAATCTATTAGTTATCCACTTAATAAATGGCACGTGGGCAGTCCCTTAGCAAATCGAACATATCATTGAAGATTTACATTCCTTCTTTACTTAGCTTCATAGTTGGAGTGTTCACTATATTATTCCATAAACAATTTAAGCAACAAATTAGATCATCTATTAATTGATAATATGCATAATATAGACGTTTAATTTGTAATAACTCTAGCTTGTTCTCGATTCTTTTCATGACATATTATGAATTCCCTTGGTGTTTTTTTAGTGTCACAAATAAATTAGGGTCCTAAATGGCTCTTCTAATCTAATCTTGCTTGAACAAGAAGCTTATAGACATCGATAATAGTTTGTATGAAAACATATAAAATATTGCGGATAATAGAAGTACTTCCATTCTTCCTAATATAATGTAGAAGGCATTTTAGGCTAGAAATGGCAGAAGACGACAAATTAAGATGCTAAATTGTTATTAAAACGCCAATATTTAAGATGATCTTCGGTAGATACTATGATTATGAATTTTCCTTGTGAAGAGGGATTTCTAAAAATGTTTCCTTCTTGCCTTACAAATAAAAATTACCGATACTCCGTAATTCATATCGTATAGATTTAATTATACGACGTATTGATAAAATAAAAAAAAAAACAAAAAAAAACCCTAGCCTTCATTATATCTTCGAAACTCTAGTTTCCTTTGTTAATTTTGAAGGAGCTTCTATTGGATTTCACCGGTAGAAAGCCTCAATTGTTTTAAGCCTTTTTGTTTCTTAGGTTATAATAATGTCTCTCTCGAAAATTTATCTCCTTCGAAAAAATATTTTTTCGATCTCTTTCGAAAGACAAGGTTTTTCGAACTCTTTTAAAAGACAAGGTTCTATTTGTGTTTAATTTGTTATCTAGTTGTGCTTGGTTGTTGCTCGTATTCAGGTTACGAAATCAACACAAGAATTTTCTTTCTCACAAAATTACGAAGAGACAATTGATCCACTAGCTCAAAAAGTTGTACTTCTTTCGTTCTTTTATAAGTTAGAGTTTGATTTACACATTTACCGAAACACTTTTGACCATCAATATCTTTATTTACATATTAGTAAAAATTACTCCCTATAAAAAATTACTCCCTCCGTCCCATAATATTTGGGACGTTAGGTGAACACGTACTTTAAGGAAACTATAAGTGGGTTCATTAAAACATTTGTTTATTGTATAAAATAATTATCTTTTGTATTTTTATATTGCAAGATTACAAAAAGTGAGGTGGAAGTGGGGTAGGTGGGAAGAGAGAAATGTGGGAAAAATACTATTTTATTAGCGGTCCTATTCTATACTTGGTAACATGTTAACTATTATGGGACAGACGAAAATGAGAACTGTGTCAAGTATTATGGGACGGAGGGAGTAATTCATAAAAGTTGCACTATTACAAATCCAACAACATATTATATATTTATATGATCGAATTTACTATACTAGCTCCGTTTCATATTAATTGACAATTGTAAATGTCGTATGACTTTAATAATGAAATTTAGTTTTTGAAATTTAATTTTTTTTTTTTTTTTTTGAAATTTTGTTTATTATAGCTTCTTTCAACCCAAAGAACAAAGGTGTTCCTGAAAAAAAAAAAAAAAAAAAAAAAAAGAAAATTGAGTTCAATAAACCTATGCTTGGTTTTTAAACCTCATAACATAACTTTGGTAGCTGAGCCTTCCTCCTGATTTGGGGTTCCTTCTGCAATTACAATTTGCACTCCTTTCTTTCTTCACTGCACGAAGACAGAGATGAGCAGCGGAAAGAGATTTGAGAAGACATTCTCAAGGAAGAAGAAGGAAACCAACAACAACAACAATGGTGGAAAGACAGAGGATGAAGAAGAATTGCTAATTTCACAACTCAAATCATCATCTCAGCAACAAAATGGAAAACCCAAAAACAGTAATGGCACCAAATCCGCCATTGTTGTCAACAAGAAGAAAACTTTTCCCACAACAACCCAGAATAATAATAAGAAGAAGAAAGAAGAGAAGAAGGTGAAGATTGAGAATGATGGGAAGGATCAAACCCAGAAGCAGAAAAGGAATGCGGAGAATGGTGTGGAGGATGTGAAGAAGGAGAAGAAGCCGAAGACGGCGACAATGGCGAAAAATCAGAGAAAGGGAAAGGAGGAGGAGAAGGAAGAGAATTCTGAGTGTGTGTTTCCGATGAATCGAATTGTTCGGATTGTTAAGAGTGAGGGTGTTTCCTCTGATTCCAAGATTAGTGGTGAAGCTGTTTTTCTCATCAACAAAGCTGCTGTACTTTCTCTCTCCTCTTTTTGCTATATTCTATTGATTTCTGAATTGAATTTTTGGTTGAATTTGATTGATTTTGAAGTGGGTTTTGCTTAATTTGTTTTAATTTTTCTGGGTTTTTGTTAATTGAAATTATTATGATTTTTGTGTATGTCTGCTTGCAAATGCTGTAATTTGTTTACTCAATATTCTTAGGGTTTACTCTTTGTTGGACTAATTGATTGATTATTGATTATTTAGTGATATTGTATTAATTGGATTAGGGAAAGTTTTGGGATCATGGTAGGTAATTGGAGAATTGTAGTTTTCACTAAGATTTTGGGGGGTTGGAGAGATTACAGAAAATTCATACTTTTAGGAAGTGGCCTTTGGCATCGGTGAATAAGCGAATGTTATGCATAATGTCGCTGTGTGAGGGAGTGGATGAAGTTATTGGTTTAGATGGAGAAGAAAAGGCAATTGTTGGGCACCAATTTGTGAGTGTATATGCAAGGATTTTAAGTAAAATCATACAGTATGTAATTGGTTGGTTATACTTCAACAATAATGGTTTGTGGAGCCTCAAAATTGCTGTCAAGTGGAGTCTAATTAAAGCTGTAAAGGTTGGTTGAAACTTGGAAGATGTATAATTGTAGCCTTCTCGTATTTTTGGTGATGGTGTATTGGGGCTTTAGGATGCTCAACATGCAGTTGTGGAGGTCTGAAGTTGTATTTACCGTACTGTTGGATAATGAGGTAGACAGAGATAGAGAGGGAAGGAGACAGAAAGGTGAATATTTGTTGGCTGAGAACATCATGCTGCAGTTAAGAAGGGTAGTAGAGCTGATTTGTAAATGTGATAGGTTAGGTTGACTATGATGGGTACATATTGAGGAATGATGATAATTAATTAGTATGGTATCAAACTATCAAATAAGCAGGTTACATGAGTAAACATGAGTATACAAGATTGGATTTCTGAATTTCGGAAAACTCCTTGTGATGCATGATATCATATTAGCTGGATATGTTGTTTCTCTGAGTATTAAAGATTTTAAGTAAAATCATACAGTATGTAATTGGTTGGTTATACTTCAACAATAATGGTTTGTGGAGCCTCAAAATTGCTGTCAAGTGGAGTCTAATTAAAGTTGTAAAGGTTGGTTGAAACTTGGAAGATGTATAATTGTAGCCTTCTCGTATTTTTGGTGATGGTGTATTGGGGCTTTAGGATGCTCAACATGCAGTTGTGGAGGTCTGAAGTTGCATTTACCGTACTGTTAGATAATGAGGTAGACAGAGATGGGGGGGGGGGGGGGGGGGGGGAGGAGACAGAAAGGTGAATATTTGTTGGCTGAGAACATCAGGCTGCAGTTAAGAAGGGTAGTAGAGCTGATTTGTAGATGTGATAGGTTAGGTTTGCTATGATGGGTACATATTGAGGAATGATGATAATTAATATGGTATCGAACTATCAAATAAGCTGTTTACATGAGTATACAAAATTGGATTTCTGAATTTGGGAAAACTCCTTGTGATGCTTGATATCATATTAGCTGGATATGTTGTTTCTCTGAGTATTAAGATTTGAATTTTTTGAAATTTGGATTGTATACCTATCAGTCCTATCTATACAGGGAAAGTGAACTGTCACATTTCAAGTTCAAATGTATCGTAATGACTAGTGGGTGGTATGCATTGATTCTATACCTTCTATGTATACAGGGAAAGTGAACTGTCACTTCTAAAGTTCAAATATATCGTTATGACTAGTGGGTGCTGGGTGGTATGCATGTCATAGATGCTGTTTTAGGATGCTTCAGTGTACACTTTCTGTTTTCCTCCTAACACGATTTTCTGTAATTAGAATGAGAGAAATAGAAGGGTGATGACTGATGACTAACTTGAAATTTAATAGCGTTGGCTGATGTTAGACATTTTAACAATAATATACTGATAATTGCCATCCCTTTCATAAACTTTCAGCAATAACTCTTAATTCATGGAACACTCGATTCTACCTTCTAAGATCTCTAACTTCTAAGTCCTCACTTTTATAATCTTTAGTCATATTTTTGTCTAGAAACAGTTCTATTATACCAGTTGCCTTTTCTTGCAAAACAAAGAAGAGAATTCAACAACTTTGGACTGTAGAGTATTGTTCTCTAAAAGGATTTGGAAATGAAGAAATATATTAGTACCAAACAGAAAAAGGAAAAACTGTAAACTGAAATTCTGTAGGATGTGCTAACGCTTTTGATTTATATAAGAATAACATTTTATAATTTTTTGTTCCCAGATGCATGGTTTGGCTAGACAGAATATGAGAAGTTATCACAAGTATTATTGTTTGGAACAAGCATTTAACAGTTTCATGCGTAAGATTGTCATTTTTCTGTTTATAATGCTTATTTTTGTTTCCAATGTTGGTTGCAGGAAAAGTTTATTGAACTATTCTCAAAAGATGCATATGACTTTGCTGTGGAAGATCGTAAGAGCTTTGTTGGCTACAAGCACCTTGGTAAGATCTCTTTGCTACAATCAGTTATCACCTTTGCTGATTACTCAATTTTAGCTATTATTAAGAAGCTACATTATAGGTAGTGTAGCAAGATACAAAGTATCTTTTTTCCACTAGCGGTGGAACATAGAAGGTGCTATCGAGATAAGGTTTATTGAAATTCTTAAAAGCCTTGACTAAGAAGCAATATCGTTGTTAGTACAGTGTACTCAGAAATTGCGTCACTAGCTGATAATTATGTTATATATGTAGAAAGTTTCTACAATGATGCCTACTGATCCATGAGAGCCAGCAATGATTCAAATCTTTTGAATGCTGAACTAAGGCTGGGTGTGAGCAGCTTTCAGATGTTGATTAATCTTAGGCTTAGGGATGGCAATTTAATCCGAGTTCGATTCGAATCCGAAGGAAAAAATCCGATTCGAATCCGTTTAATATTAGTCCGAATCCGAATCCGATAAAATAGATCCGAATCCGAATAGGAGGTGGATCGGACTTGGACCCTACGCAAAGTCCAACGGAGTCCGATCCGAGTCCGAATCCAAAAGTATAAGCATATGCTCTATAACTTAGGATAATTATTTGCTTGTTTTGTAGCAAAATTTTGTTATGTAACTTAGTTTATAATTTAAATATGTTATGTTTATATTTTAATTGGTATGACAATACAAGCAATTATAGGTATATGACATTACAAAAAAATTTAAAAAAAAAAAAATATTTGGATCATTTCGAAGGTCCGAATAAACGGACCGGATTTGGATCCGAAAATTACGAGTCGGATCGGATTCGGATTCGGATCCGAGTCCAGGGTCCGTTTACTAAACGGATCGGATTCGGATTTAGCCACATCCGACCCGAATCCGATCCGTTGCCATTCGCTAGATGTCAATAGCAAAAGCTGATCATTGTGTTGTAATTCAGATTTTATTTATTTATTTTCCTGAACAATGTAGGCCCTAAGGTCATACTCAAACTTAGACAATCTTCTTGCAAACTGATTATTGTTAGTATTTAACATCTGCACTAGTCCTCATAAAAGTCACCGCTGTGATTTCACTACATAAATGGACCAGGCATACTAGAAAACAAAAGGAGATAAGAAAGATCATTGAACATTTAGCCTTTATGCTGATAACAATAAGTGAAAATCGAGATCTAAAGATGAATTGAGTGGGGAGAAGAGGATGGTGGGGAAAATGTAAGTTGTCCTAAGCATTTTGCATGACTATGGAAGCATCACTAGTCATTATGTTGCTGGCTTTCTGTTTTGGTAGTGGACTCTGGCTTAACGTTTGGATATTGTAGTGACTTGCCTAGCACCTGCCTGTTCCTTTGTGTTAATTTGAGTTTCTCTATTGCATGGAGAAAATCTTATAGTTGTTTCTGTCTTTTTCAGCCTCTGTTGTCTGTAAAGAGAAGAGGCTCGACTTCCTTTCAGGTACTCCTAACCCTTATTCTTCGATTTTGTCAACCTTGATCCTTGAATACAAATATTAGATTGTTCATCTAGTCTTTTGATGATTTTTTTTTTTTTTTTTTTTGACCACTTGATACATTCTGTGGTACTTAAAAATGTTGCTTTATTGTTATCAACCAGATTTTGTTCCTGAGAAAATAACGGCTGAGAAGGCCCAGGCTGAAAGAAAGCCTGCTGAGACCCTACCTGGCTAGCAAAGATGTATTGCAATTTTTCTTTTTTATTCTACGTTTGTCTATAGTACCTAACCAGGCAGGAGGGAGGGGACGGAATAGGATTCTATGTGTCACATCATCCTGAAGAAATGGATTCAGGTTTGCATCCTGCTCAGCCAAATTTTGAAAGACGTCCATGCTGTAGTTTTTGTGCGGGGAGACTTGCATCTTTGCAGAGGGATGTATTTAGGTTAATATGTGTCAATCTGGAAATATCGGCCTTCTGTGATGGTATTTTTTACTTTGTATCATCTGCGCGTTGTAGAACTTCAGTTACTTTGGACTTGGGAAATGATTACTTTCATGTAGTAGCTCAGGTGCATGTGTTTTTTCATAGAAGTCTTACAATATCATCATTACACTAGAAATCTGAAGAAACACTGTGTAAATAAGATACTAATTCCAGCTGACATGGATAACTTGGTACTTAAATTGAGTCAACAAGCTTTGTTGCTTGTAGAAGATCTGTACCGTGAACGGCCTGAGGCTTGCCTAGTAGCATTATTTGCTAATGTATTGCAGTCGATATTAAGAAAGCAGAGTGTCTATAGGCTATATAATAACCTATAACCTCTTTAAAAAAAATTAGTTAGACCGTGTCTATTTTGTAGCCTAACCCATTTGATAAAGAGCCCGTGTCTGATTAATCATCTTACTTAGTTGGAGTAGAACACTTGAACCAAAAGTAGTGGTGTATAGACTGTATACTATATATGGTCAATAAAACCCAAACAAACCTTTTTTTTTGGCGACTGGTTTGTAAAATATGGTAGAGTACTTGAGTTTATGTTTTTAGCAAATTATAGTTCATGCCTGTAAAAAAAAAAAATGAATAAATTATGGTTTATGTTTGACTTCCTTAAATGAGGCGTGTGAATTTTTTTTATTTCTAATTTGATATAGATGTTAAAGATGGTAATGGGGAAGTATATATATGGGTTTCAATGTTGAAGATGGTAATGGGAAAGTATATAGGGAACTCTTTAGTAACCACAAATTTTTATTTTTTTGTCAATGGTAATTAGGAATTAATATTACTAATTCAATGGTAAATTAAGTTAATAATTTGTTAATTCCTTAACTATGGTTAAGCTATTGGATTGCAAAAAGACACAAGTACCCCTAACCAATTATTTCTTCTTCCTTTCTCTTTCCTCCCTGCTGTAACTCCATTTCCAGCCACCTCCTCCCCTTGTCAATGCCCAGCCTCCCACACCTCCGGACGGCGACACCTAGCAAATCGATTCCGGCCAACAAAGCAAATCTATTACTACATTGCTTCCATTTGAACTGCAAAACCCAGAAATTCAACAGCAAACCCCCGAAAAATTCAACCCAAAATCAACAAATTCGACTAGCGACCCCAAAATCAATAATTTTGACGAATTCGACCACTAGTTTGACAAATTAAACCCCAAATATCAACAAATTTGACCCCCAAATCAACAAATTCAATCATTAATTCGGCATATTCAACTACTAATTCGACCCAAAGAATCAACACATCCGACCCCAAAATCACCGTATTCGACAAATTCGACTCCAAAATCACAAAAAAAAACTAGAAATTTCAACCAAAAATTGGGGAAAGAGATTAGAGGGAATCAGGGAAGGGAGGGGGGTGGCTGATTCTGGCGTCCCCGATAGAGGCTGTTGTAGGACCCTACTATTCTTCAGCATCAAAACCCATCATTACAAACTGGTTTTTTGGTGGCGAAGGAGAGAGAAGAAGAAGAGATCAGAGAAGGAGGAGGGAATTTGTGGTTTATGGTCAGGGTCGTCGCTGGGCAGGGCAACCGCCCAGGGCCCAGTTTTGTAAAGCCCAAAATTGGTTTTAAAGAGAGCCTCAAATTACCAAAAAAAAAAAAAAAAAAAAAAAAAAGGAAAACTAAAATTGCTTAATTGCTTTATACGAGTACTAAAATTCGCCATTCATCAATGAATGAAGTTTGTCAGTTATTGTTCCCAAAGCAAATTAAATGTTCCAACTTCCAATTCCCTTAATTTTTGCTTCTAATATTCAGATTTCCCGGGATGAATTCCCCTTTTGATATTTTTAAAAAGTTAATTACTCCTTTCAATCTTTCCAAAGTGTACTACCCATATTTAATTTATCCAAAAAATCCCTGGTAAAATCATTTGAAGATGAAAATTATTTAAAACGCTGATATAGCTTTACATTTTCAACTCTTGGCATATTATTATTATTATTACGGAAAAATATAGTCCCTAGTACATTAGTACATTAGTAGTTTTAATTTAGTTACTCGTATTTTTTTTAATTATTACTAAATGTAAGCCCGTGCGATGCACGGTTCTAATAAGTTATTTTATTTAATTTAAAATTTTGTATATTTATGAATATCATTCATTAAATATATGGATAAAATTTCTAATATCATAAAATATTTTTTTAATTTTAACACTAAAGTTATAATTTGTTGTTTTATTAATTTTATGTGACACTTGAATTTAAAATCTCAAACCTTATTCACTAATTTTGCTTATATGACAATTTAAATTTTTAATTCATAAAATAAATGACAAATCTAGTTTTTTTTTTTTTTTTTTTTATCAAAATAAGTTTTTTGCCTATGTGTTTATGTAATATACTCCTTCTGTTTAAAATGGTAGTCTCATTTATAATTGTTTAACTATTTAAAATTATGGGAAATTAGTCATGTGAGATTTAGTTTTATTCGTCTTAGTCTTTTGCCTATTCGTTTATTTAATATACTCGTTCTGTTTAAAATGTTAGTCTCATTTATAATCATTTAACTATTAAAAATTATGAAAAATTAGTCATATGAGATTTAGTTTTATTCGTCTCGATGAGTACATTATTAAAATCAAACTTTTATAATATTTGCTAGGAAAAGATTAAAAATATTTGTGATAAAAAATTTGCATCCATATAGATAATTATTACTTAGTGTTTTTTTTTTTGTTTTTCTTAAGAGAAGATAATTATTGGTTTTTAAAAATAATTTAAATTTTAATTATTCACTATTTTCGTTGTTTTTACGTATGTGTCAAAATTCTTAAATATTATTCGTCACTTTTGCTTAGGTGGTGAGTAAATTTTTTAATTCTAAAATAAATTATTAATCTAATTTTTCATTGGACAAAATAAGACCTTTTCTTATGTAGCGCGCCAAATGCTCTCGAAAAATGCCTACTTTATTTATATATATATTAGATTAGTATAATTAAAATAGGGATTTGATTTTTTTTTTTCATACTTCATATATCTTGTACAACTAAATATTTTATCGTAATTCTTCTAAAAAATATTTTTCCATAATTAAAAGATTGAAAATCTAGGAGAATTTTTTAAGATTTGTAACTAATACATTTTAATATTTGATATGTGAATTTGAAGTTAGAGTTGAGAAAGCTAATCTTTCATTTTGCATACCCTTAAAATGCAAAAAATAAAAAATAAAATAATGCTCATTCACTAGGGCCTCAATCTATAAGTTCGCCCTAGACCACCAAAATCTCAGAAACGGGTCTGTTTATGATCATCGGCGTGTGTGGGGGAGGCTAGGCACCGCTGTCCGAGAATAGCGGAGGCAGACTAAATGCTGGCAAGGGAAGGGGTTGGCGTGGTGGCTGGTGAGTGGGGATGGATTTTGGGTTTATTCATTTATATTTTTTTATTAAAGGGGACTAATGTAAATTCATTGTTTTTTTGACCAATATTAACCTTGGTTAATTGTCTAATGATGTTTTGTTTTTACTAGTTTTGTGCCCCGTGCGATGCCCAGGTTGAGGAATAAATGTGTTTTTCTGACGACTTGCTATCTAGTAGGCGTGTAATGACTAATACTACGTAATAATGTTGGTGAAATGGTTCAATTTAATATATTAAAAAAAAATTTAAAAATTAGCAAAAAAATAAACTAAATAAAATAAATGTTCAAAGCACGTTGGAATGACCCGAATTCAGAACTTTGGGCAAGGGTTGAACATTTCTTGATTCGTAACCTGAATTGACCCAATCCGAGATTTCATGACCTAACCCTAATTGACAGGTATCCATTTTATTATATTGTGAAGTACATAATTTTAACCGATTAGTATATATTATAAATGGGTGTTTTACGCTTTGAATTACTTCCTTCGCTCCAAAAATATCGTGATATAAAAAATAAATTTATATGATAATTTTTTAGAATTATAATCTTATAATTTTTTTTTTTGAATAAAATTATAATTCAATTTGTACATCTGAAATATTGTTATTTTATCGATAATAAAACTGTAAACTAACAATTTTATCCTAAAATTCTATCTAAATCCCTAACTTTTTTTGTATCTTATGAATTCTATTTAAATCTATCCAACATGGCAAAAAGTTGGAACGCCAAGTGTCGCGATGTCGTGACCTGACTAAAAGTTTAGCTTTATATATTAGTTATTATATGATTATATTGTGAAGTACTCATATTATTTTAGCCGATTAGTATATACTCCCTCCATCCCCGAATGATAGTCATTTTTGGGTGAAAATCACGGGAATTAAGGAGAAATAAATAAAGTACATGGAAACTAAAATCCAATCATGTGCAAAATAAAAAGAAGAGAGAGAAACCGATTGTCATTAAAAAGGGAGACAGCTCATTCAATTAAGGCACAAGTAGGAAAATATGAGGGTATTTTGGGAAGCACAGATAATACAGCCAAAAAAATGAGGGTATATAGGTCATTTTGTGTTATTGTATGAGACCTAAAATTGTGAAATGTGACTAACATTTTGGGTGTCCAAAAATGGAAATAGTGACTATCATTCGGGGACGGAGGGAATATTATTTATGGATGTTTTACGCTTTAAACTATATTAAAACTCTAAAATAACAATTTTATCCTAAAATTCTGTCCAAATAGAATTCTAAACTAACTTTTTTATCTTGTAAAGTCTATTTAAATCTATCCTACGTGGCGCGACATTTGGCGGAAAATTAGAACGCCAAGTGTCGCTACCTTGTGATCTGGCTATAAGTTTAGCTTTATATATTAGTTATATGATTAATGTTACCACTTGCTTACTTAATAATATAAATTATTGATTACCATTGATAATGAAAAAATTCAGACCTTACCATTGAGAAAAAAAAATGTTTGTGGTTACCAAAGAGAATTTAAGCAACTAATTTTTTTGAAGAAACAAATCACCAAACACTAGTACCATCTGTTATTATGTCAGCATTTTTATTTTCCTTTTTTTTAGTAGGTTAATTTTGGGTTGAGTACTCTAAGTGCAACTTTTGAAACTTGAATACCTTCCCTACAACTTTCTCCAAGCTTCAGTACCTTCCAATGGTATTTACTCCCCATATATATGTACACAATTACACACTACATATTAGATAATGCTCGTGCGATGTCCGGTGTTTTAACTTAATACATTTATTTTTTTTTTCTTAAAAAAAATGCATTATAGAAACAAATTGTAGGCGTTTATTTTTATTTGATGAATTTAATTGGCTTGGAGATATTATGTCATGATATTTATATGCGAAGTACATTAGAAAATGAAGATCAAAGGAAATATAAATGGTAGATAGTAAAAAAACAATAATTTATTTACCTAAGTCTTTATATTGCAATTCCTCGGCCCAATATTAAATATCCCCCACGACCATTAATTGCTCAATGGACAAATACATCACCGGAATCATCTTTATAATACTTTGTATATGAAGTAATTAATAAGATTTTAGAATTATTTTAACCTGTGTCAAAAAAAAAAAGAATTATTTTAACCATCATAATGCCTTTGTATCACTTTTCAAGGGTGATAAGAGTTATAATGCATAATTTTAAGCATGAGTGAGGAGATATTTACAAGAAAAAAAACGAAATATATAGAGAGAGAAAGTGGAGAGAAATTGGAGCTAATAAATGCTCCTTTTAATGTTATGTCACAATCCACCCCTCCCATTATAAATGTTTGAGGTATTTATAGGGGTGGGAAGTTGTGCCCCTTTAGGGTTATCCTAGGATGGCGTGCTCACATGGGGCACCGCTTTTGCGGTTTTCTCGGGATTTGGGCCTCCTGATGTAAGGATGCCTTCTCTCATTTAGGTGTTTTTTTGTGTTTGGCACGTGTCATCTACCTATAGGGACGTGTGACCCTTTAATTAGACCATGTGTCACTATGGGAATGGACCACGCATTGGGGGTATTTTTTACCCTAAACATAAGCTATCTTTGGTGAAAAGGGGTACGAAGAAAAAGTGAGAGAAGCGAGAAGGGGCTATAGTAAGGTGGTAACTGACTGGGGCAGAACATAGCGTCATAAGGGGTGGAGGTGGGGGACAATCGTGCTTGTGGCGTTTAGGAGAGAGAAAGGGTTGGAGTTTTAGGATATATTAATTAGGCTCAATTGCTGAAATTTTTATAGGTAAGTTTGCAATTAAATTGGAATGAAAATGTATTGAATTGTTGGTCTATTTACAAGTGAATTTGATGATTAAAATAGATTGATATTTTCTCTTTTTTTTGACAAAAGATTTTATTATCAAAAAATAGATTTACAACCTAAAGTCAAAATAATACAAGAACACAAACCAACCAAAAAGACACACACTAAGTAACATGAGAACCAAATAAACAGAACGCTACATCAAAGAACATTTTCTTTTGCATGAGATCGTACAAGTCGTTTGTGGTGAATGAAGCTCGCCTACGTTTGCAACCTACCTTAACCCTGCAAAGTAATAAACGATTAAGAGCATGCATTCTGCTACTTGATTTTCAAAAGCCTAGAGATGAACGACGACATATAGTGGCCGTAAGATAGGGACCGCGCTGAAAATTGAACGCCACTAGAGGAGTTAACATCCAAATGCGGCAAGACAAACACTATGGGCAAACGAAGAGGGGAACCCAACATCCATCAAAGGAACCTGCTCGAGAGGAGTTGGATCTTCTGTCATCAAGATATACGGGGAAACATCCTGATGGCTCAATGAAGACGATTCCTTGCACGAAATTGGCCATGGGGGTCACTGCTTCCCAAGATTCGTGACCTTGGAGGGCCTCCGCCAAGATAGGTTTAAACGCTCGAACAACTCGGATAGTGACAAACGAAAAACTGGTAAGATTATATAATGAAGCTCGTGAAGCTATTTTACCCAAAGTTTCCATCGGAACCAACATACAAGACTTGCAATTCCGAGAGTCAACAAACTTAAGATGTCGCTTCTCATTCGTATCCGAGCCGTCTAAATCATTAGTCTGTGACACCAACAGAGAGGACCTAGTAGATGCACAAGTTGGGAATTCACCTACAGACCCCACATTTTGTGTCGGTTGCGCCATGTCTTGTGAAGGGTCAATCTCCATGGGAACCGAAAAAAAGGGGTGTACCGAAATACAAAAAAAAAATTCCTTATTTTTCTTTGAGGAAGCAACATCAGCAAAATCCAAACTCCTATTCCCTGTAACCCCCAAGTGAAGCTGATTGGTTTTGCTTTGGTTAGAGACCATCGGTGAGACCAAATGAGAAGCCTCTTCATCATAATTGGGCTCTGTACCCGGGAGTGAACTCACACTAATAACATCATTACAGCAAATTATTGAAACTTAGTAATTGCTATACAGCAAATTATTTGTTTGCTTCAACGGTTAGAGTAACTGATGACCTACAAGGCTACAACCAAATCATACTAAACATCAGCATTTCTAATTACAATATCAAGAAGTAACTGCGGCAACTCTATTATTTGGAATTTTGGACCTATACAGTTAATAACCCTGGTGAAGCTAAATAACTAGTGATTATGCACTTAAGCTCCTTCGACATCTGAGGACAAACTAGAAAACTCTCACAGCATTCAACATTTGTAATAAATACAGAAAATTGACGGGATTAACCCTGTGACAAGCCCGAAGGATCTGAGGACAATAGTGGAAGAAATCTGTTCGTTGATTGAAAAATTTGATTATTTCTGCTGTTGTCATGTCTCGCGTAGTGGAGTCTCGAAAGCCCATGACCTAGCTGTTTGAGCTAGAAGGGGAACTTAAGAGACACTCTTTTATGTTTGTTTACCAGTTGTCAAAAAAAAAAAAAAAAAAAAAAAAAACCCTGTGGCACCAGCTTAGACGGTGTATTACACCAATTATATCCTAATAAATATGGCTACCATCAAATCTGCGAATTAAGACTCAAAAAAGCAATTGGAAAATACCCACTCTTACAATCATTTGCAGTCAGACCCACTGGTACTTGGTATTGGGTGCTTTTCTATCGACCTTGCAGTTTCTGAATCACCTAATATGGTTTCAGAAGACACAGGTCTCTTCCATACTTTTACATGCCCCTCTCTGCATGCTGTAAGGATGGAGTGCTTTGTGAAGACCAAGTCTGACAAAGGATCAGTATACACACGATGAGCAACAAGTGGAGAAAGCTTTGGGACATCTCGCATACTTGGAGCAGGCTGTAAAGAGCCCAATGGAACCACACTATCCCATTGTGCTGATTGACTTCCAGCGCTGTAAGTAGGTGAACCACCTGGTGGACAACGACGAAGAGGCACTACAATTTCATCCATCGAAAAATCCCATAAGAGTAATTGAGTGTCCTGAAAATGGAAAGTTTTTCACTTGATCATGAAGGTGTTCAAAACAAAAAACAAAAAAAAAAAAAAAAAAAAAAAAAAATGACAAGCAACCCTATAAAAAGAATTGAGGAAATATGTAAATAAAAATGTCCTCGTCTAGCATGGCATGGTAATGCTCCTCCAACTTTGCTTCCATTAATGTTAAAATATGACATTCTCTCTCTCTCTAGGGAAAAGAGATGGGAAAAAACTTATAGGTCACATCGAGGTAGTCCCATCTGGTAGGATTTTGTGATATGTTATTAAATTAACAATAAACAGCACCCGCTAACTTATAATATTACTTATACTAAAAAAAAAAACGCCATCACCAATATTCCCTTAAAAGTTAAAATTATGTGCCCAAGAGAAATGAAAAGTTTTATGTGGGATGGAAGGAGTATTAAACTATTTACTAAGAAGAGAATCTTTTGATACCAGGAGAAATGAAGCAACCTATCAATGTAAACGAAGGAACAGTGAAATGTTCTCCCTTCCGGGAATCTAAACTCAATCTGAGAAGCCGAACAATGGACAATGGTACATATAAATTTTTTTAGGTTGTAGATCAAAATACTTCTTAATAAAATGAGGTGAAAACGGACAGAGAGTCGATAAATGTCCTTGGCATACTCTTATGGCAACAAGGGGGCATGCTGAAGATGAGATTGACCACACTGATGAGAGAACAACAATTTGTAGAGGTGAAATTATTACCAGGGTGAAACCATAAACATAATGAGGAAAAAGGGCAATATGGAATATGTTCTCTTATGTCCTTTTGCATAGGCATTGCCTACACCTGAGACTCATTCATTCCTCAAAATCAATGTGCACCCTTTTTAAAATGAGTGTCTTTGAAAAGCATATCGCATAAGTTTGTCATGTATATCACATCAGTAGATTATGTGTTTTAAACTAAACTTAGTGACTTAATGTAATGTGTCAAGTTTGTCCGGAGGGGCATAGGTTGTGCACTATGATAGTATCTTGAAGAGAAAGATGAGTTTGTTAAAGGAATATTATTAATAGAGCACATCTGAGATATGATGAATATCGGTGAGAAGTTTTGTTTTTTTGTAGAAATTTTGTTAGCTCCTTAGTGATGACTTGATTGCATTGCTAATAAAACACCCAAATTCTCTTGTTTCTCAATTCTACTAATCTGATTCATTCAATAACAGTTTGTAGAGAATTCCCTGACCTCCATCAAATAGATTCAATTCTACAATATGATTGTACAACAATATTCAATGAACCACATACCTGACCAACAGAGCCAAACCGATACATCACATTTTCTCCAGTCCTATCTGAAGATGGGGGTGACCAATATGGATCAAAAGCAACTCCACTCACCTGCAAAAATCCAGTTCAAACAGGAAGAGGCATATAAAGATCACCAAAAAAAAAGGAATATATAAGAACAAAGGGGGGCTTGGGCAGTTGGACAGGAAGCATAGTAGCATATTAGCTAATCAAATTTCAGAGAAATAGGTAGGAATAACCCATCCCAATCTAAGAACACCTTTCCCATAGGGCCCTTTCCATCAGCTCAAATGAAGTTAACCAGATCAATTTGTATTCTGGTCTCCACCTCTCTAAATAATAAGAAATGGCCAGAAAGAGGCTCACCCATGAATTGTGCCCCTCACCCCACGCTATAACCTTGCGATCCTCCATGCTCCAAACTTGAACTAGATCATCCTCACCACCAGTCAAAATATATTTACCATCCATGCTATGTGAGTAAGAAAATTTCAAGTCAATTGCAATTCTTGAGAAAATAGTAAAAGAAAATATCATATGTTGTAATGAATAATAAACACAGCATTGGCAAGGCATATATCATATCAAAACATATAAAGCTTTAATAAGTCATAGCACAAATTGTTAACATTACCTCCATGCACAACAGAGAATAGCACCATAATAACTTTTTCCTCCAAATACTAGCAGTTCTTTCTGGTAGTCAAAAACTCTTAAAAAGCCTACGAAACATAATTACGTCATTGATGAATAAGCATTATATGGGATCAAACTCAAGTGTGTATAAAAATACCATCTCTCCCAACAACAGCCAAATGAGTGCCATCAACGGAGAACGTCATTCTATTGATTGAACCTTGACATATATGCCATCTAGAAATTGGATTGCTCTGCAATTATAATCATTCAAGAGAAATCAGACAGGCAGTAACATATGGCTAACGAACTAACCCTATAATTGCCAGTGTCATTAAAACCAGTCAATTCACCAACAAAATATTATATATAAAGACCAGCATTCTGGACCCAAATTTCACACACAAGTATTTGCAATTACATTAATCAAACATTATGGAGAATAACTACACCATTCAACGCGTGATCTAATCAGGAATTCCTAAACTAATAATCCCTTTGTTTAGTGTTACGACTGCCTTGTCAGGTTTTTTTTTTTCATAAATATTATTACTATTTCTCTCCTTTCACATCCTTTGCTGTTCAATAAACAATTTACTCCATAATTTTTTCGTACAATTTCTTAGTACTCCATCTACCCCACTTACCTCTTATTATAATTTATAAATTACAATAAAGTCAAGTAAACCTCCTAGAACTATGTGTTGGTCAAAATGAAATACTTAATAAAATTGAAGGGAGTGCCAATTTTAGGATGAATATCTAATGCTTAAAGCTAGTCCCTAGGGTTGCACATATCACTACCGAATTTGACAAGATTCCCACATCACAGATTAGGTCCTCACGGTCAAATGATCTTATATTTTTAAGGGTGGATAGAATTATGACAGACCCTGTGAAATTAATGGCAAGATAGCACAAACTGGAACATCCAATCTTGATCTCATAATTACTGGTACATCAATGTGACACAATGCACAAATCCAATGTGAATACATTAGTTTAAAGCCTTGACAGAAGTCCTCAAGTTAACAAATTGTAAAACTATGTGATTCAACCCATTAGCAATTAAAAAGGGGAAAATTACAGTACAAAGGCTGTGTACCAAGCATTCCTGGTTTCTACATTTTGTTTCCTTTAGAATACATATATTGAAGGCACTATAAAGAAGCATGAGCAGAATTCATCAGTAGAAGAGGTCAAGCTTCTCAGATGATAAGTAGTACCTCACCTTGCTAGATTTTGCATGTGCAATAGAAAATTGAGTCGGATCCTTTATGAGCGGGAAAGATGGATCAACAGTAGCATCCTTTCCCTAAAAAATAATAAGAATACAATTCTCTTGAGCAATAATGTAAAAGATAAATAGAAAAGTGGACAGAGAACTTAAAAACCACTTATATGTAGCTTGCCTTCTCATACACATACACATTTCCATCAGCATGAGCAACAACAAAGAAACCATTGACTTGAGGAACCCATGCTACACTGGTACACCGGCTGTTTTAAAATTTAAAGTGTCACATGATTTGATCAAATAGAGTTGCAAGAACAACAGAGCACATATGTAAAGGATAGACAAGAACTTTAATGTTCACATGAGCAGTCGCAATATACAAGCAAGATAAAAACATTATCCATTCTACTACATGTGGCATATTATGGTAGTGTTCTCTTCACCTGAATTTCACTGATCTAATATTATCTTATTTTATTAGTTATGAACTCATCTTATCTAATTTGAACTTTTCAACACTTATGGGTCTCATCTTATCTTACTATATTGGAGCTTATTAGACCTTATTGAGCCTTATATAAGGTCTTATTAGACCTTATTGGAACTTGTTTTTATCTAATCTAGAGCTTATCAACCCTTACCACATACTTCTATTATTTGAAAGATAGAATACTTCCTCTGTTTTTTTTAGTTGCATCACTTGTAAAAAACTCGGATTCTTAGGTAGTTTTTGGAGATGAAAGAAAGGAAAAGGAGGGCCCATGTGATATGAGAGAGATAGAGAAAATTTATTAACTAAAAAAAAGTGATGCATCTAATTTGAAACTTTCTTATTTAGAAAGTGATGGATCTAAAAAGAAATGGAGGAACTATTATAAGTTACTACATAACTTATACTCTAACAATGAGCAAAACTAACATACCAGATTAGAACATCAAGTAGAGCACACATTAAAAGTAGCTATACCAAATATGAAATATAATAGACAGCAAGAAACTTCTAAAACTAAGATGGAGTTTCATGCACTTCATGAAAAAAGGGAAAATACAAAAAGTATGTGTAATATAAAAAGTGCTTGTATTAATGTATTATGAGTTCGAGATTATTTGGTACCACAGCCACAGAAACCGCTACATCTTAGCATATGATATCTTGCATGACTAAAGACCAGTGGTAATAGCTAGAAGGGCTTCAGAACAAGTCAATGCATAATAACAGAATTCAGCCTGTTGAAATTTAATCCCTTTGTAAGAAACACTGTTTCCTTGAGAAAATAAATTCAAAATGAAGACCAATATACATCTTTGTCTATGCTAAAATTTAGCTAGTATTCCAGTTTGAACAAAATTGAACTATCTATTAATTTAGAGCACTTGAATGTTTGCAAACAACAGACATGTACAGCCAACCAAAGGAAGAATATGTCAATTACATGTAAGTTGCAAAGCTTTACAGTAGACTATCAAGAAATTATACTTGGTCTTGGAATACATTTGTAATTCTTAGTTCCACACCTCAAACAATAAATTGACAATAAGGAGGGAAAGAGCTTTTTCATCAAAGCTGAAAGTATAACACATCCAAAAAATATATACCCTCAGTGAACTTGACCAATAAGTAACTATGCCTTTCTCTCATACTGCAAGCATAGAAACAACTTCAAATCATAAAGACAGCTTCAATCAGAGGTTTCCATGCAGATTGAAATAGGTCGGCTAATACAGTAGCTTCTAAAATCTTAATGATGTATGGGATTTAATACATTACTAAACTAATGAGCCACAAAGAGCTATAAAAACATAAATGAACGGGAGACAACTAAGAGTCCACCACCCTGTGTAACTATATTATGGATTCCAATAAGTGTATTTGACGTCTAGGGATTGCTTTCAAGTTACACAAGACAGATTGCAAGATAAGAGAAATGAGCTAGCAATTAAAGATCCCCCCCCCCCCCAACCCCTGAACAGTGTTTAAAAAGAGGAAGTTGCAAAAGGTTATGATGTAAAGCTGCATTTGCATTATTAATGATATATATTGGACCAAACACCATAGTAACATTTAACTAACAACATAGATAAGTCCTTTAATCTCATCAAATGAGGTTTCAAAAAAAATAAATAAATAAATAAATAAAATTAGAGGGGTGGAGAAGCGAAAGCCAAAAAAAAGTCAGGAATAGTACAGAATATTCTTAATCCACTCAAATACGCTAAAACTCAATAATCGTAAAACTTGACAGAATCTATGAGCCGAAGAACAACATATGAACCCATATTGAGATGACAGCATTATGCAAATCAACTAAAGATACAAAACCCTGAAAATGAAATTACCACAAACTCAAGTAATACTTAATGCAGAATGTAGGTCTTGCCTGTTATTAATGGAGCCATCTTTGTTATAGTGATGTGCTCCAACAAGCTTCTTTCCAATATCTTGCAACTGCTGTCTCAAGGAAACTGTGTACACTGCAAAGATAAAGGTAGATACAAATATTTTGTCATTTCAGGGAAAAAAAAGGAAATAAACATCAGCCAAGCAGCAGGGAAATACCATCTCCAGAGTTTAACCCTATCAGTAAGTCATGGCCATCCTTAGCTTCAGGATTAAAGGTATGACAAACAGGATTCGAGCTTGCAAAGTGTATGGATTTAATGGGATCCTACATAAGCAAATGTATCTCTTAAGTCACAAGATGTTTATTCCCAAATTAACTTAACAACATCAGAATGGGGGTAAGGATTAGATTAGTAATAATAATAAAAAAAAATAAAATAGAGAAATAAATAAATAATTAAATAAATAAATAATAAGTCACACCTTCTCCTGTGAATTTAGGTCGCTAATGTACAAAGTGTCTCCCACATTGTATATTATGTACATTCCTTTACCATCAAAATTGGTGATTGGCAAGCTGCTACCATTACTAGAGCTTCCAAGTGTAGCAGTTTTCATAGCTGCAGCAACAGCTTTATTAGCTCCATTAACTCCTACAAAACTAAGAGCTCGCCCTCCATTATTCGAACCTAACAACTTTGCAGCAGCTGACCTTACGCTACTACTTGCACTATAACCTGAGCTTGATGTGGGTGTGGATGAAGCTGTTTTTTCCTTGAGATTAGCTAATGTCACCTGAAAATAATTTTCCAGCAAATAACAAAGAAAAACTAGGATTAGTTAATCAGAAAACAAATCAAAAAGATGAATTGTTGAATACTATTCAGTCTAGTCATCATAACTTATGAAAATAGTGTCCAAGATCGTTGTAAAAAGAGGTTGATCGCATTTAAGAGATATTATTTTTTCCAACCACAATAAGGGGGCATTTGGTATAGAGAGAAAAGAAAAAGGAAATGAACACGGCTTATTCCCTTTGTTGTTTGTTACTTTGTCAGGACATTTTAATCATTCCCTTTACCCTCTCCATACCCCCAAACTCTTCTACTTTGATTCCCTGCCCACCCCCCCCCCTCCCCACCCCAATGGTATTTCCATTCCCTTTCTTTATGTCACCAATGTACCACCACACCATCAATGGACCACCACCACTCCACCACTACTACTCACTGGAACCATAGCCCCACCACCGCCACTTTCACCATCACCGCCCACCACTGCTACCCTCACCGGAACACAACATACCACCACTTCAACCCACCCCAAAACCACCCTAACCTACCCACCCTTCCCAACCACCCCCATCCAATCAAAAAATACTTCACCCACCCATAAACCACCCCCATTCCTAAACCATACCCACCCACCCACTCGAAAATCACCCTACCACCTTAAAAACCCACCCATACCATGGTTCGAAAATGCGGTTTCGGTTACGATCACGGGAACGGTTGTGGTGTCGCGGGAACTTTTATAATGCGTTGATCGCGGACCATGTCACGATTGTCTCGATGCAAATTTGATTTCAAGATAGTAGAGGATTAGAGCCATTAGTGAGCTGATATGGGGGCATAATAAAAGATTTGAGCCATTAGTGGGGAGATATGGGGGAATCTTTCACTATATCTTTGAATAGAAAGTGACTTTTGTGTGAAATAATAGATGTAACTTTCAATGCGGGGAGATTTAGGGTGGGGTTTTTTAATACCCCTTGTTGATGCGGAAATCTTGGTTCGGTCAATTAAATTTCCTTTATAAAACGGCTCAACCAAGACGTCACGACCTTGTTTTTATACCCCATACCCACTCATAACCAACAAAGTTCACATTGGTGACATAAACCATACCCACCCACTTCACTTTTCACCCTACCACTTATGGGATTAAGGCATAGATTGATTGACTGACTTGAAAAAGGCTTATGGAGACTTGAATCGAAATTCATAAGAGAATGCCTTAACATATTTGATTTTTTTTTTTTTTGCTAACTTTGTAAATGTTACAACACATTGTGCCACTTTTGTTTCTCTTCAATTCTAATAAATTCTACCCTTCTAAAGGAATTATGCAAGAGTAACCTATTCCCCCTTACCTTCGTATACTTTGCACAAATCTCCTTTCAACACTAATCCATGAGGCTTACACTTCAAAATCTTTGTCCCTCTCAAACAAATGAATGGGCATAAAAGTAACTCTTCTTCTCTCACAAGTCACAATTCTAATCTCATCGACTTGATATTTATAAGCAAACTCTTAGCATTCGGTCTGTTATGGACCTTGGTTCATACCTGGTTCCTCTAACCCAAGGAATGCCTTGAAATAGCTTTGCTAATTCAATCAATCAGTCAATCAAAGCCTAAATCTCATAAGTGGGGTCGGCTAGATTTGCTAATCCAATTACTCCTTAAAATATTATAAAGATACTTCATGCGAGGAATAGATTTTTCCAATTACATTTTCAAAACCTTAATTCAATAGTAGAAAACTTCTTTTAAAGGTGAAAAAAATGAACTGGATTGCTTGGGAGAAGATTTGTAAACCAAACAAGGGAGGGGGAGGTAGTTTTTTTTATTTATACAATGTCCTTAGCAGAACCAGCCTAAGAAATGTTAGAAGTCTTATGACATAATAGGGTATTTGTTTTCCTTTAGGATAACAAATCTATAAAAAAAAAGTCCCAAGTTGGAAAATTGGGAATGGAATAAACCTTTGGTTAGACAAATGATTGGGAAATAAAAGCCTTATATGTCCATGTCCAGGGCCTCTAAAAGTTGGTAAGAAAAGAAGTTAGCAGCCCCTTTGGAGGTGGTGATAAATAAGGGTACATATGTAAATTTGAAAAGAACATTAAACGTCAACGTCCATGACAATGCAAAATTACCCATACACTTCCATCTTTCTTACAAGGATTTCATTAACATTTCCACTTGTGGTAATGGGTGGTAAAAAAGTTGATGAAAAAAGGTTAAGTTTAGGGATGGGATTTCAATACCATGGACGTAAAGATAATACTTTGCCTTGCAAAATTACATTTTGTATGTTTTTGGCTGGTGACATTACATTGATGGAAGAGACTAAGTTGGGGTAAATAATTACCTAGAACAATGGAGACACGCGTTGGAATTGAGTTAAACTAGATCAAAGTACATGGAATGCTTATGTAGCAATCGAGGGAGACAAGCAGAGATATAGTGCTAGTGGGTAGGAAGAAGTTGTTAAAGAACACGTCTTATAAAGTTATGAGTACCTTAGAACACGTCTTATAAAGAGAGCTGCAATTGGGGAATTGAGTGATAAGGGCATAGCCTTGGCTTTGAAGAAAAAAAGTTTCATGGCGACTATAAGACCAACACTATTATATGGTTCTAAATGTTGGGCTTCAAGGACTATGTTAGAAAGATGGGAATAGTATAGGTGCTGTTGTTGAGAAGAATGTGTGGGAACACTTGAATGAATAACATCAGGAATGAAAATTTTCAAAGGAAAGCTGGAGTTCCAGATATTGAAGATAAGCTAAGGGAGAATCAATTACATTAGTTTGGACATATGAAACGAAAACGGAAAAAAGCTATGGTAACGAAAGTAAAAAGGTAAAGGTAAGGGACCCAAAATGAATTGGATGGAAGGAGTTATCATGTAAATGAAGAATTTGGGTTTAGAGGAATACATAACACTTGAGAGAAGGGAATGGAGGGAGAGCATAATGGTTAACAATGGAATCTTGCTGCTGCTAAATTACACTTAAATTCATTCTCTTTACTATCATTTGTAACTACCCCTCAAACAGGCCATTAGCTCAACTAAGGACATGAAAGCTGAATTGGGAAGAAAATTAGATTTCCTAATCTAGAAAGTAGAAAACTAATGAAAGAATCAATACTACCGCCTTCAATGAGGATTAAGCAGGATTGATTGAGGATGATTCTAATCTAATATTTCGCATGTCCAAAGTAATATGGAAATCAATCTGTGATGGGGAACTGGAAGCAGCAATCCCTGGAATACTCCAAGCACTGGAATATGCATATGAACAAGCACTACCAACATTGCATCATCACCTTTGACATAGAAAGGCAATTGATAAAATTGATCAAATTAATCCAACAATATCTCATCAAGGTCAACCGAAATTCCATAATTTAGGAACCAATTCAATCACAAAACTAATAGTAATATAAACATCTAATAATTGACATACCTACAAAAGTAAATGCAGTAACATCACATTGAATTCAACATTAAACAAAATAAATCAAACACACAATCACAAAATAAACAATCAAAAACAACAACCTAAAATTCGATATAATATCATCAAACAATCCAAATCAAAAACAAATGAAATTGAAGAGAGAGAAACCTGAGAGACGGTTTTGCCGTGAGAATAATGGAGAAGAGTGGAAGGATGAGACTTCTCGGAATGAAGAGTGTAACGGCCTTCGGGAGTTTTGAAGTAGGCTTTGAGTCCGGCGCCGGCGGGAGATGATACGCCGCCATTGACGGTGGCGCTGTTGGTGGTTGCGCTGCTATTACTCATGCTTTCGGCGACGACAATTGGAGATGAATCTAATTGTGTAACATTTGTTCATGGCATATTTGTCTTTGGAAATATAAAAACACATAAAAATACTACGGAGGGTACTTCACTACTTCTTTTCTTATTACTCGTATAGTCGTATGTGCAACAAAAGAGTAATACTTACGGGTATGAGACATAAAATATTTACTTCCTCCGTTACACATTATGTGCAACAATTTCCAAAAATGGAAGTTACACATTATGTGCAACAAAGTAAAAGTAAAAATTTCCACTTATAGTAAATATTTTTGTATAAAATGACCCATATGCCCTTACTTAAGTTCAATAACACACATTAAATTAATAAGATTATATGTTTTTATTATATTAAACTAAATTAATTCATTTATGATAAAATCCCTAATCTTAATCTCTCTCCTCCCTCACAACCTATCCACCACCATCATCACCAACTGTTCACTCACCTCCATAACAACCACCACCACAACAACCATCACCACCACCACAACAACCATCACCACCACAACCACAACTACTTCTCATTCTCTTTTCTCTCTGCCACGACCCCAGCCCACCTCCAGGCAAAAATGCCCCACCCAGCCGGCCACCCATAACCTCGAACTCCCACTCCATTGCTGCCGCCTTGAAATTCCCAGATAATTTCCGACCAGCCACACTTAACCCAAAAGCCGCTTCTCTTTCTTTTTTCTTCTCCGAAAACCACCACCGATCGAGTCATACTAGCCCTATTTTCCTTCGTCAAAGTCGTCGCCTGACTCTTTTTCCCCTTTTTTATAGCCGCCGATCATCCTCAAAATTGAACCCTAAAAATTGATCGGGTTTTGTTTGGCTGCGAGTTGGTTGAGGTTAGTTTTCGGTGGTTATGGAGGGGTTTCAGATCTTGTTTGTGTCTGTGATTTGGGTGGGTTGGAGTTTCGAATCTTGGCAGTGGTGACTGGGTTACGAGTTGCGGTGTTGATGCGTGTTGTTTGGAGTGGGTTTTGGTGGTTATGGTGATGAGACAGAATGGGGTGGTGGTGGTTGGTGATTACGGGATGAGGTGGTGGTTGGTGATGGTTTCGGGGTGTGGGTAGATGTGGATGGTGGTGGTTTCGGGGTGTGGGTGGTGGTGGAGGTTGCTGCTGGTGGGTGGTGGTATGTGGTGGGCGTGGTTGGATGTTGCATTGTTGCTGCTGGTGGATAGTGGTGGCTGATTAATTTTCCCCCTTTCTCTCTCCCACCCTTAATCACAAACCCTTTAATTTGTTAATCACCTATTAACAAATTTTATCTTGGGAAACGTGGAACAAAGTTTGTTGCACATAATGTGTAACGGAGGAAGTATTTGTTGTATATAATAAGAAACAAAGGTATAATGACAAAATTATGTATTGATAATTTGATATGTGTATTTTCACTTTTAACTCTCTTATCTAACGTCCTAGGAAGCTCGTTAGCTTTTGAATTTTCAAAATACTCTTGCCCCCAAAAAATAAACATGGTTCAATTACAAGCTTTGACTTTAATTTTTAAATTATTAAAACAAATATTATAGTTTAAAATATTGATGATCATGTATTAATGTAAAGTTTTATAATATTACTCCCTCCGTTTTTTAATACTTGCTCAACTTTCCTTTTTTGGCCGTTTTTATATACTTGCTCCATTTCCTTTTTTTGGAAACCTTTTACAATATTTAATTCATTTCTCACACTTGGTGGACCCAACATAATACTCTCTCCTCCTATTCTTCCACTACTTTTGCTTTTTACAATTTTTTATTTTTTCAACTACCCCACTACCTCTATATTTTATTACTTCATCAAATTCTCCTAAAACTCCGTGCATGGAAAAATGGATCAAATATTTAAAAACAGAGGGAGTAATATTTAAATAACTTTTACTATTCTAATTAATTATACTCCCTCCGCCCCTTTTTTAATAAGACTTTTTGAGATTAGGTACAAGAAATGGACCAACCTAATTTATCATTATGGATGATAAAGTAAAAAAAGTCATTACTACAGATAAACCAAAAAAATTCTTTAATCTCCCTAAATTGTGATGAATTGAGCAAGTTCCAATTTGAAGAAGATCTTGCTTTTCATCAATAAGACAATTATTATGTTATTAATAAACCAAGAAATTTTACATTGTCTTTTTATAAAGTTAGAGATCCACAAATTATCTGTTTCAATTTTAAGACGTATAATGCCACGAAGAATTGCGCTTTTAATTCACGTGTAGGCCATAACTTCCACATGAAATAATCTAGATTGGGAAGAAATCCTAAAGAATCACTTATAACAAAACCATTATGCTAAGCTCTCACTTGAAAGCTAAGAAAATACATAAAAGTGTGGAATGATGTGTCTTTAAGAAGGAAATCAAGAAATTTCCTTACAATAAAGAAATATTTTAAACCAGTGTTTGCATTGGTGGAGGAGGTTCCATGGTATAAAGCAAAAGCTTTGTGTATGATTAAATTATCCTTTAAAAAATTTGTACATAATGGAGAGGCCTTGAATCCGAGTAACTTTCATAAAGATAGTACTCCATTATTAGGACGTATTAGGATGAGGTGAATAGGTGATGAACCATACAATTCACCAAACAAAGGCCAACCAATATACTTATAGATACCACAAGAAAAAGAAGCATTTCCTATATCCAACTAGCATTACAATTGGTAAATTACGAAGGCCACTACCTTTTAGCCTAAAAAAAAGGTATAACTTTTTGAAGTTTCATTGGCTTATACAGTTGCATACAACATTATATATAAATGGCACCGTGTAATGCATAGATATGGTCATGTTGTTATTGTTATATATATAATACAAGTAGTAGAGTTGAGTTTATAGAATAATATGTATACAGCAAATTATTTGTTTGCTGCAAAGGTTAGAGTACTCCGATGACCTACAAAAGTACAAGGCTACAACCAAATCATACAAAACATCGGGATTTCTAACTACAATATCAAGAAGTAACTGCAGCAACTCTATTATTTGGACCTATACAGTTAATAACCCTGGTGAAGCTGAATTACTAGCAATTATGCACTTAAGCTCCTTCGACATATGAGGACAGACTAGAAAACCTTTGCAACATTCAACATTTGTACTAAATATAGAAAATTGAGTGGATTAACTCCGTGGCACCAGCTTAGACTGTGTATAACGCTAATTAGGCATATGATAATGAATACGGCTACCGTCAAATCTGCAATTTGAGACTCAAAAATGCAGTTGGAAATGCCCACTCTTACGTTCATTTGCAATCAGATCCACTGGCACTTGCAGTTTCTGAATCACCTAATATGGTTTCAGAAGACACAGGTCTCTTCCAAACTTTTACATGCCCCTCTCTGCATGCTGTAAGGATGGAGTGCTTTGTGAAGACCAAGTCTGACAAAGGATCAGTATACACACGATGAGCAACAAGTGGAGAAAGCTTTGGGACATCTCGCATACTTGGAGCAGGCTGTAAAGAGCCCAACGGAACCACACTAGCCAATTGTGCTGATTGACTTCCAGCGCTGTAAGTAGGTGAACCACCTGGTGGACAACGACGAAGAGGCACTACAATTTCATCCATCGAAAAATCCCATAAGAGTAATTGAGTGTCCTGAAAATGGAAAGTTTTTCACTTGATCATGAAGGTGTTCAAAAAAAAAAAAAAAAAAGAAAAACAAAAAATCACAAACATAACATGCAACCCTACAAGAATTCAGGAAATATCAAGTATGTACATAAAAAATGATCATCTAGCAAGGCATGGTCATGCTGTCCAATTTTGCTTCCATTAATGTTAAAATAAGACACTGTCTCTAACTTTCTCTCTCTCTTCTTTCAAACTAGGGAAAACTGGAAAAGAGATGGGAAAAAAACTTATGGGTCTCATCGAGGTAGTCCCGTCCCCTCTGGTAGGATTTTGTGACATTCAGGGTGACATGTTTAGATTTAAGTTGTGCATACTTGAAACAATTCTTAAAGAAAACTCATTTGCCCCAGCTAATCCATTTGCAGTGGTAAAAGGTGCAAGTTCAAACACATTTAAATTGAAATTAACCATCTATATAAAGGAGATTGAAATTATATCCCATGCAGATTTTGTGACTAAAAAGCCATGCACTTTATGTAGTCACTGAAATAATATTCATCCAAGACAAAAATATATTTTTCAAATTGATGAAATCATATATTTTTCAAACTGGCAAGATATATAGTTTTTAAACTTATAGGCATCCTTCAGAATCAAGGCACTCTTATTCTTTTCATCTCTACTCCCTTGAATCATAATAATCCCCACTTTCTCAGACCTCAACTGAAAAAACAATAAACAGAAGCCACTACCTTATTAAATTACTTAGCACTCAACAAAACCCCATCACCATTACTCCCTTAAAACAATGAGCCCAAGAGATACGAAAAGTATTATGTGGGATGGAGGGAGTATTAACTAAGAAGAGAATCTTTTGATATCAGGAGAAAATGAAGCAACCTATCAATGTTAACTTTATTCTCCTTCAATAAGAGTACAAAATATAACCCAACTTGACTGATTTAGCAAAAGGAGATAAGGTAGCTGATGCCCACAGTTTTGAATTTCACAAGGTGTGTATGGTAGATGACACACAGATAAATCAAGGGAGCAACAAATATATCATTATCTCAGCGGATTTCAATGTGAGATGAGACTTCCAAGAGCAAATTTCTTATACTAGTATAATGATGATGTTAGGAGGAACAGTGGAATGTTCTCCCTTCCAGGAATCTAAACTCAATCAGAGAAGCTGAACAATGGACAATGGTATAAACAAAATATTTTTGGTTGTAGATCAAAAGACTTCCTATGAAACGTGGTGAAAACGGACTGAGACGATAAATGTCCTTGGCATAATCTTATGGTAACAATGGGGCATGCTGAAGATAGTTTGTAGAGGTAAAATTATTACCAATTATACCAAGGATGAAACCATGCACATAATGAGGAAAAAGGGCGCATGGAATATGTTCTCTTATGTCTTTTTGCATAGCCATTGCCTACATCTAAGACTCATTCATTCCATCAAATTGAAATGTGCGCGAATGGTGGACTGTGTGCCTTTTGAAATTAGGGGCCGTTTGGTTCGCGCGGGGAAATCGGAATGGAATGAACAAAGGGAATGTAGGAGAATGGAATGAAACCCTTTCCAAGTACTGTGTTGTTTGGTTTTCAATAAACAAAGGGAATCACCACCACCACCACACATCCCCTTTCTTCACTTTTCCAGCCACCAGGAGCCACCCCACCGCCCAGCCACAACGTCGACGGAAATTGGCAGCCCTGGGCGCACCTCCCCCACCCCTCGCAGCCCCTAACCTCCCCGGAAAAAACTTCCACCACCACGCAAAAACCCTAGAAAACACCATCCCTCCCCTTAAAAACGCCGGCCGACCTTCCCCCGCCCTCGAAACCCTAGCGGCTAGGGTTTCGAGGGTGGGGGGAAGGCCGGCCGGCGTTTTTAAGGGGAGGGATGGTGTTTTATAGGGTTTTTGCGTGGTGGTGGAAGTTTTTCCGGGGAGGGGAGGTGTTTTCGAGGGGAGAGGTGGGGGAGGTGCGCGGGCTCCGGCGAGTTGTGGGGGAAGTGCGGCGGTGGGGACTAGGTCCGTGGCGAGGTGGTTGGGCTAGTTCCGGCAAGTACAATGGTGGTGGGTATTGTGGCTAGGGAAAGGGAATGGGAAAGTCTAGGGGGGGTGGGGAATCAATGTAGACAAAATGGGTGAACTCAAAAATAAAAATGGGTAAAGGGAATCAAAAAAGTGACAAACAAACAACAACAAAGGGAATGATATCAGTTCATTCCGATTCCCTTTGATTATTAACCCCAACCAAACGGCCCCTTAGTGTCTTTGAAAAGCATATGTTTGTCATATATATCACATTAGTACATTATGAGTTCTAAATTAAACTTAGTGACTTCTATGTAATGCATCAAGTTTATCGGGAGGGGCATAGGTCGTGCACTACGATAGTATCTTGAAGATAAAGATGAGTGTGTTAGAGGAATATTATTAATAGAGCACATTTGGGAGATACTATGATGAATATCGATGAGAAGTTTTTTTTTTTTAGAAAATTTGTTAACTTCCTATGGGGCTGTAATCTCCTCAGTGATGACTTGATTGCATTGTTAATGCAATACCAAAATTCTCTTATCTCTCGGTTCTACAAATCTGATTCATTCAAATAGTTTGAAGAGAATTCCCTGACCTTGATCAGATAGATATGTGGGCACAATATGATTTTATACAACAATATTCAATGAACCACATACCTGACCAACAGAGCCAAACCGATACATCACATTTTCTCCAGTGCTATCTGAAGATGGGGGTGACCAATATGGATCAAAAGCAACTCCACTCACCTGCAAAAATCCAGTTTAAACAGGAAGGGGCACATCAAGAAAACCCCAAAAAAGGAAAATATAAGAGCAAAAGGAAATTGGG